GTCGCGGTGAGCGGGGCCACTCCTCACTGGGGCGCTCGGGCCACTCACCGCAGGGCTGCTCCATTTGCAGAGCACGGGCTCCAGGCCCACGGGCTTGAGCTGCTCCACCGCAGGCGGCATCTTCCCGGCCCAGGGATCGAACCTGTGTCCCCGTGCTGGCAGGCAGAGTCTTCATCTGCCGCGCCACCAGGGAAGTCCAACAAGCCAGCTCTCAAGACTGTCCTTCTCACAGAAGCGGAAGCGTGGGGCGGGGTGAGGGGGCGGAGGCTGAGCTCTGCACGGGGCTCTGGGGCTCGCTGAATGGCGGTGAAGGTGAGAGCGCCACTCGCCCAGTCGTGTCCGACCCTGCGCGACCCCACGGACTGTAGCCCGCCAGGCCGCTCTCTCCATGGGAATTCTCAGGCAAGAATCCTTGCGCGGGTCGCCATTCCCTTCTCCAGGGAATCTTCCTGACCCAGGGGCTGAACCCAGATCTCCTACATTGCAGGGAGATGCTTTACCGTCTGAGACACCAGGGAAGCCAGACTTCCTCCTCTCGGCTTCACTTATCTCCCTGGTGGGCGATGGGCTCTAGCTAATCCCGGTGTCCCAATATACTGCCAGCCAGGGTCAGAGGAGGAGGTTGGGAGGAGAAAGGGATGGCAGAAGGGTTCAGATCCTTCCAGACTGAAGCTCGCTTGAGGTAGGCCAGGGTAGTACATGAGATAGGCTTCAAGTGTCCAGTCCTGTCTGTTATTCACCCTCAAGTTCAATCATTATATATTCATTCCCTTGACTGTTTAAGGCCTTTCAACTCTGAAGTCCTTGACTAAAAAGCAAATATTCTTAGGAGAAGAAACTCCTGAGTGTGTTGTCTGTTAATACCTCTGGGAGATTGATTGAAAACTTGCCAAGAAAAAGGTTTTGTGAGAAGGAACACAGAAGGGAAAAATGTGTGTAACTGTTAGCACACATGTTGGGGGGGGGGGCGGGTTGTGGAGAAGAAAAGCTATTAGAAAGGAGCCAATGAAGCCGATGTGTTCACCGTTTTCTCTTCCTGGGCACCTGGGAAGGCTATATTTCCCCGGTGTTCTTTGTAGTAAACCTGGGTTCTACAGCACAGCACTGAGTCTGACCGGTGGGAGGCGGTTGGAACTGATACGAAGGCCAGGCCTGGCATTTATTTATTTACTTATTAAATGTTTATTTACTTATTTGGCTGCACTGGATCTCAGCTGCGGCACGCTGGATGTTCGATCTTCATTGCCCATGCGAACTCTTAGTTGTGTTGTGTGGGATTTAGTTCCCTGACCAGGGATTGAGCCCAGGCCCCCTGCATTGGGTGACATGGAGTCGTAGCCACGCAACCACCAGGGACGTCCCAGGCCTGGCCTTAAGTGACCCTCTGTGGTCACCCTTGACCTTCCAGTTCTCACTTCCCTTGCCGTAGTAATCTGGGGGTCTACGTGTCTCAGACAGCACAGCTGCAAAGTGGAAGGGGCTGTCTGACCTACTTCACTGTACAACATCCTGAGATGTCACAATTTGTTCCTGCAGCAAAATCTGGTTTTGCCTAACATACAGAGAAGAAGGGACCAACAAATTTCTTCATTTTCCCCAGCCGGATGTGGCATGCAAATCGAGATCCCAGACTCCGGGGTGGTAAAGGTCTGGGTTCGAGTCCCAGATCTACCATTTTAGTCTAAAACCTTAGCCTCAATTTCTTCAGCAAAATGAAAGTTGAATTAGACACAGCCTACTTCTCATTTAACCCACGGCTTGGCAATGCTGGGTTATCACAGACTGTAAGCTTTGCTGCTGAGCTGTTAGGAATGAGTGTGGGTTCTGGTTCAAATGTCCACGTATTGCAGATTTCTTTTTTATCAGGATTAATGACAAAACCACAGCAAGCTGTACCTGGTAGCTCAGACGGTAAAGCGTCTGCCTGCAATGTGAGAGACCTGGGTTCGATTCCCAGGTTGGGAAGATCCCCTGGAGAAGGAAATGGCAACCCACTCCAGTACTCTTGCCTGGAAAATTCCATGGATGGAGGAGCCTGGTAGACTACAGTCCATGGGGTTGCAATGAGTCAAACACGACTGAGCAACTTCACTGGTTCACAGCAAGCTTGGGCTTCCCAGGTGGCACTAGTGGGATAGAATCTGCCTGCCAATGTAGGAGATGCAGGAGACGGGGGCTCGATCCCTGGGTCGGGAAGATCCCCTGGAGAAGGTAATGGCAGCCCACTGCAGTGGACAGAGGAGCCTGCTGGGCTGCAGTCCGTGAGGCTGCAGAGAGCTGGACACAGCTGAGCACAGCACAGGGTGGATGGTGTCCGGGGGAGCAGTCACGCGCGTGCTGAGCACACGCGATGCGGCAGAGCTGAGTTAGTGCTGGGGCTGCCCGTGAGTGAGTTAGTGCTGGCAGAGCTGTTAGTGCTGGGGCTGCCCGTGAGTGAGTTAGTGCTGGCAGAGCTGAGTTAGTGCTGGGGCTGCCCCTGAGAGCAGCCCTGAGTCTTGCACAGGGACCGGTGACCTAGTTCGGCCGTGGGGAAGACAACATCAAGGTCACACATCCACGAGTTCAGGTCCGGGATGGGCTGGGGCAGCCGAAGGAGGACCGACGCGGTCTGGAGGGAAGCGGGGCTGCAGGAGGGGGTGCCCCCAGGACAGAGCCACCTCAGTCCCCTCATCAGAGAACAAGCAGCGCTGTGACCGCAGCCTCCTGAGAGCTGGGTTCACCAGGAACGCTGGTGGCGCTCCTGGCTGCAAAGGTCAGCTCTGCCTCACTGATATCTCTGTTGTTCAGGTCTCCAGACGCTGCCTCCTCCCCTGGCTGTCCCCTGGGGAGGTGTCGCCCCAGCATCCTGAGGACGGGGCGGGGGGAGGGTGAACAGAAGGCAGAGCAGGAAAAGGGGTGACAGGCCCCCTGTGGGAAATCTCCCCCCTTATCCCCATGGGGTGGGGGTCACGGGGGTCAGGCCTTCCCAAACGACTCCCCCAGCTGCCCTGACCCCCATTTCCCGCACCTTCTCTGGAGGGACCAGCCCTCCCTGTATAATCACGCTCTGCTAAGACCTCATGGTCTGGCCTGGGCGCCCACCTTTCTGTGGCATCTCCCGTGAAACTGGTGGAACTCCCACTTCAGAGCGTTCAGCGGCACGAGCACTTTCCCACGCCTAATGTAGTCTTTTCCAAAAGACAACACACAGACCGTATGCCTCAGGCCTCCTAAGGGCTTCCTGGGGGCACTGGTAGTAAAGAACCCACCCGCCAAAGAGGGAGATGTAAGAGACCGTGGTTCGATCCCTGGGTGGGGAAGATGCCCTGGAGGAGGGCATGGCAACCCACCCCAGGATTCTTTTTTTTTTTTTTTAATGGCTGAATAGTATTCCATTGTATGTATGTACCACATCTTCTTTACCAATTTATCTGTTGATGCACATTTAGGTTATCTCCATGTCTTGGCCATTGTGAATAGCACTGCTATGAACATAAGGGTTCATGCATATTTTGTTTTGTTTTTTTTTTTGTTTGTTTGTTTTTTAATTTATTTTATTTTATTTTATTTTTTATTTTTTTCATTTATTTTTATTAGTTGGAGGCTAATTACTTTACATCATTTCAGTGGTTTTTGTCATACATTGAAATGAATTAGCCATGGATCACCCCAGGATTCTTGCCTGGAGAACCCCGCGGACAGAGGAGCCTGGTGGGCTACACACAGTCCGCAGGGTCTCAGGGTTGGACACGACTGAGTGGCTTAGCACACGCTTCATGAAGCTCAGCTGGACCTGCCCTGAGCTCTGCCCTGGTGACCTTTCTGGGCCCCTACCGCAGAAGGGAGTGGGTGAGTGGGCACAGGGAGGCAGCCGGGTTGCCGGCGTCCGCTCCTGGCTCCCCGCCACCCCCAAGCGGCAGGACGCCTCTGATTTGCTAACTGTAGGACCATGGACTGAGCCATTTCCACGGCCTCAGTTTGCGCATCTGTAAGGAAGAGAATCAGACAAGAGGGTTCCTAAAGCCCCTTTAGTTTTTGACGTCAGAAGACCGACCACTTTGTTCGGGCCCTGCAGGGACAGGCCCGCTGACCAGCTGCTCACCCGACCCTTTCGTCCATGTGATGGAGAAGACCCGCTGACCTCCTGGAACAGGGCACCAGGTGGGAAGCCCACCCTGCTCCGGGCAAGGGAGTGGGCACCTAGCTGGGCTCCTGAGTGGGGGCCCGGATGTGTACGACCCTGTGGGGATCCCAGAGAAAACGAGAAGATTCCCTTCTCCGGCTTGAGGTGAGGGAAGGAAAAATTCACCGACAGTTACGTCTCCTGTTTCCTTCTGGGTCTGGGATCCACCCAAGTCAGAGAAAGGGACCCTGCACCCCCGTCTGACACGAGGCCTGCCTGAGCTCCTGGGGACTGCAAGGGCCGCACTCGTGAGGAAGCGGGAACGATCGTGGTCGTGGTCGGGGAGGCTGAAGCGGAAGGGCGGATGCCTCCGGGTGTCCCCTGTCTCCTGGTGGGGTGGGGGTGATGGAGTGAGTCAGACCCGGGTTCAAAGCCCAGCTCTCTTGCTTCCGGGCTGTGTGTCCCAGGGCAAACGACTAAGCCTCTCTGAGCTGCCGTTTATCTTCAGAAGAGGGAACCTAATATCTACCTCGCAGGACTATTCTAAGGAGTAAATGAGCTAACACACGTGTGAAGGTGCCTGGGCTTGGTGGCCTCCCGTGGCCCATGGTCATTCCTATTTTTGTCTCTACTCTTTGGAAGGGGGATGGCCAGGTGCCACCGCCCCGGGGGTCCTGGGAAGCAGAGCGGGGTGAGGCAGAGGGTGAGGTGAGACGGGGTCTTTGTGGGAGCAGGACGCCTCTGCAGGGCAGCGGTCAGACCCAGGCCTTGGCTGTGGCCCCAGGGGGTGAGCAGCGGAAATGAGAGCCCCTCTCCCTCCCATCCCCCCACGCCCCGCAGGGTCCCCCATGGGGAGGCTGGGAGCCCAAGGCTGAGCTTGCAGCCGGCGGGAGAGGCCCTAGTGGCCGATAGAGTAGGCGCCCGAGTCCGTGGACTGCTTCTCCTCCGTGGTCTGGTCGCCAGTGTCCGCCGGGTGGGCAGAGGCGGAGACCCTCAGTGTGGTCTCGCTCACCTGCAGGCAGAAGCGCTGGCATGAGTGGGCTCCGACCACGGGTGGGGTCCTCCCGTGGGCCACCGTGTGGCGGACTCAGCCGTTGGGGCTCACGGGTGGGTCCGAGGGGAGCCAGGGCAAGTCGCTGTGACCCCAAGATTCTTCCCATGCAACTCAAGGGCAAAGCGAGCCCCGAGGCAAACCACAGCAGGGTCTGCCCACCCCGAGGGAGGACGAGTGGGTGGGGATGCTGAGAGCGATGACCACGCCCCGCGCTCGGCCAAGGTCCGGCCCGTCAGACACCCCCCCCCCAACCCAGTGAATGCCTCTTCATGGACCCAGGACAATCCAGGGTCCAGCTCCCTCCCTGCCCCGTTCCCCTGCCTCTCGTGGACCCCCCCGTCCCCCACCACTGACCTCCTCGAACTTCCTGGCCTTGTACTGGTCGGCCCCCTTGAGGAAGTTCAGCAGGATGATGTCGCAGAGGACGGTGCCCTGGAGGAACAGCGGGGGGCTCTGAGCGCTGCGGGGTGGGGGGGCGCGGGGGAACAGGCTGGTGGGACAGTGGGGGGCTCTGAGCGCTGTGGGCGAGGGGGTGGGGGGCAGGGTGGCGGGAGGCTCAGGCAGGGGCAGGACTGCCCTGGGGGTGCGGCGAGCGCCTTTAGGAAAATGTCCAAGGGCTTTGCTTTGTCTCTGGGACCCACCTCCGCTGCTCAGGGCGGTGGGCCCACCCTGAAATGCACTGGGAGAAGCCGAGGAAATGTGGAGGGCGGGGGGGGGGGGCGTGTGCCCGACCCCAGGGAGCAGGGCTCTGCGCCGGCTTGGCTCTCGGGTCTGGGAACCCTGGGGTCTCCTCCCCACCACCCCAAACCCTGTCACCTTCACGGTGATGGGGAACAGGGACTTGGTAACGGGGTGGGGGGGGCGCTGGCCACGTGGGCACCAGGACAGGAGATGCTGGCCCAGCGCGGAGGGGATGGCTCTAGGCAGAAGAGGGTCCCCCCCTCCCCTCCCCCCCACCCCGGGCCTGACCAGCCTGAGGGCCCGCACTCACCACTCCCACCGAGGTGAAGGCCGCCACGGAGCTGATGATGGTGGGGATGATGTTGAACTTGCCAGCCTGGTGCACAAAGACCAAGGTGAGCGCGAAGGGCGCTCAGCAGGTCCGGGTGAGGCCTGAGGCTAAACTTGGGGCTCCCCGTCAGGGCGGCCGTGGATCCAGAAGGCCTCTCGGGGCATCAGTGTGCGCCCCCCACCCCGACCCCCGCTGCGTAATGTGACCAGCGAGGGTCTCTGGGCGGGTCAGCCGCAGAACCCGGCCCCGAAGGAGCCTCTGAGGGTCCAGAAAGGACCTGCATCTCGCCCCGCCCCCGGCCCAGGACTCACGTCGCCGTACACCAGCACGTCGAAGCGGATGCCGAAAGCCTTCAGCAGGGTGCGATACTCACTGCCGTTGTCCGTCTTGTAGTACTTGGCGAACCTGGAGGCCAGAGGGGGAGGCGCGGGCCCGCTGTGGGCGCCTGTCTCTCCCGCTTGGACTCTCAGGGTCCCCTGGAGCCCTGCAGCCCTCGTTCACCGCCCTGCCCTGCCTGACGGTGGGGCGGGACGCCCGCCCGCCGCGGTCCTCCCCGTGTGGTCAGCTGACCGCCTGCACAGCCATCACCTTGGAGGGGTTTGTTAAGGAGGCAGATCTCCAGGTCCTGCCCTGAACCCAGAGAACCAGCATCTCAGGACTAGGTCCCGGGAGGCTGCCTTCTAAAAATCTGATTCCTCTAAGTGAGTCTGACATGTGGGAAAGTGTGAGCCCCGTTGGACTCCCAGCTTCCACGGTTCTCCCTCTTTGGGAGTCCTCTCCCAGAAGGGTGTGCCCATTGCCGTGGGCGGCTCGGCCTGCTTGGATTCAAAGCCTGCTTCTGCCGCTTGCCAGCTACGCAGCGTGGGGCAGTCACTTAACCTGAGACTCCATTCCTTCATCTGTGAGTGAGCAGAGTACAGAAGCCCTGCTTCTAAGCGCTGCCATGAAAACGGAGTGAAGTCACACGTGTCAGGGGCTGAGAACAGGGTCTGGAACAAAGTCAGCACCGGGGAAGGCTTCCTGGCGCTGATACTGTGAAGGAACACACTGATCCCTAAAGTGCTTTTATATGGCGGCTTTAAAACTGCTTTTAAAGCAGTGGTGGTCCACTGGTTGGGACGTTGTGCTTCGAATACAGGGGACCCAGGTTTGAACCCTGGTCAGGAAACCAAGACCCCACATGACACGAGGCATGGCCAAGATTGATGATGATGATGATAAATGCTTTTAGACACCGCACCTCAGAAGCCAGTGGGATAAGGGTGTGACTGCCCTACTTTTCAAACGAGGCTCGAGGGGTTAAATGACTGGTTCGGGGTGACTCAACTGGCTGAGACCTAGCGCTGGATTTGCCCGGTTCAAGCACTCGGTCTCTGAGCGTCCCCGGCCAGGACTGCTGTGTCCGCCGGGAGCTGCGGGAGGCTGAGCAGAGTGGTCACGTTTCACCCTCACTGAACACACCGAGGCGGGCGTCACCCCGTCTGAGTGTGCCTATGGTGGTGAAGGCATCTACCGGCCGTCTCACAGTCAGCCAGGGATTGAGTTGCATTTGTCTCTGGGCTTCTAAAGCCAGCGCGTTTCCTTCTACGTGGTTACGGGTGAAACTAACTCTGCAGGTGTGTGTGAGCGTGTGCCCAATCGTGTCTGGCTCTTTGCACCCCCGTGGACTGTAGTCCGCCAGGCTCCTCTGTCCAAGGGATTCTCCAGGCAAGGATACTGGAGTGGGTTGCTGTGCCCTCCTCCAGGGGACCTTTCCGACCCAGGATGGGACCTGCGTCTCTTATGTCTCCTGCATTGGCAAGTGGATTCTTTACCACCGGTGCCACCTGGGAAACGAACCCTAGCGAAGGGCAATCTTTCTGGGCTGCCGCCCCAAAGCGGTAACACAGGCTCCCGATGTCAGCATCCCAGGAAGAGGGTGAGGACTCGGTGAGGGGGTGACCGAGAAGGGACACGGAGACCTCTGCAGCTGTGTGGCGTCCACGTCGGTCTTTCTCTCAGGTGCCTCCCTTTCAGTGTTTCCAGTCCCCAGAGGCTCCCAGGCCCGTCCTGGGCCTCCCTCAGAACAGGGGACAGCTGAGAAACTCACTCCCTGGAAGTGTCCCGCGACTGACACGAAGCCCCTCCCAGGGATGCTTGCTTTCCAAACTGTCCAGCGGGGAGAATGAAGCGCTGAGCCCGAGGGGACAGATAATGGAAGGGGATCACAGCGGGGGGAGAAGGTCACTTGTCAGGGGTCGAGCCACCTTAAATCGTAAATGTCGGCTACTGTCGCCGCTGGCTTGTGGCTTCCTGTGTGGCTCATGGATAAAGAATCGCCTGCCCGTGCAGGAGCCTCGACTTCAGTCCCTAGGTGGGGGAGATCTCCTGGGGGAGGAGTTAGCACCCCACTCCAGTGCTCTTGCCTGGAAAATTCCACGGACAGAAGAGCCTGGTGGGCCACAGTCCGTGTGATCGCAGAGTCGGACAGGACTGCGGGACACATCCAGCACACACGTCAGCTCTGGGAACCCCGGGGTCAGGCGGAAGCGAGCTTAAATCCGGGCTCCACCACCACAGGCTGCAGGTGTGCGCTCTTTCCTGGGACTCAGCCCCTGGGGCTTCACTTCCGACGTCTATAACCCGGCGGGTGCTGAGACCTCCTCCGCAGTCAGGGAGAGGGGTGACCCCCGAGCCCCACCACGAGGTGGGCGTGCTCCTGACCTCTGAGTCGGATGTCCTCTCTGCCCTTCTCTGCAGAGACCACTCCTGCCCAGGCCCCTGCCCTCTGGGTCGGGGTGGTCCTGCCGGTGGGAGGTGCCCATGGGTGGCCAGAGGGTGAAGGGAAGGCAGTCAGGGTGCTTTTTGTCTCCCGGCTCCTCTGCGGGGCCTGTAGCCAGGCTGGCCTCCCGCCTGAGGCCCAGAGTCTGCAGAGCGGCCTGCCCACCTCTGTGAAGAGTGCATCCATGCAGTCGCCCCTTTTGAGACCCCTAACTGTTCCCTCCCGGGACTCCAGCCCTCCTCTCCCCCACTTCACAGGCAGGAAGCTCGGGCCTGGAGAGCTTTGTCTGGGTCAGGGGGGAGCGTGGGGAGAGGGGGTCCACCTTTGATTTCTGCCTGTGCCGGAGGGAAGCACCTGTTCACTGTTGGAGGCCTTAGACAGGCTGAAAGGATCCAGGGAGAAAACGGCCGCTGGGGAGGCTGACCCGGGCATGTGTTTCCTGAGGGGGCTCTGCAGCTGGAGGGAGAGGCCGGGAAGACAGAAGTGTCTTCCTGACAGTGGTAGAATGAACCCAGGCCTGGGAAGGAGGCTGCAAGAAGGGCAGCCACTTAACCCCACGGGCAAGGCCTTGGTGGGGGAGTTCCCTGGCTGGCCAGTGGTTAGGACTTGGTGCTTTCACTGCTGGGACCTAGGTTCAATCCCTGGTCAGGGAACTGAGATCCTGCAAAGTGTGCAGTGTGGCAAAAAGACTTGGAGGACAAGGAAATATGGCAGCAGCTACCTCATCCTCAAAAGTATGGTAAGTATCAGAACTTCCCTGGTGGTCCTGAGGCTATGAGTCCGCGCTCCCAGTGCAGGGGGCCTGGGCTCGATCCTTGGACAGGGAACTATATCCTGCGTGCCGCCAATAAGACCTGGTGAGGTCAGATAAAGAAGTATGTAAAAGAAGATTAGGGCCAGTATGGTCTGGGTGGAGGCAGCAGAGAGCTTCACAGAGCAAGGCAAAAAGCACCAAGCTTGAGCCAGACCAGCTGTAACAGAGTAGGATGAACACCAGAAAGGAAATCATTCCTGTAAAGATGAGGAGGTCCCAGAACCTAATTCTGCCAGCAGGCCTCACGGGAGAGCTCAGGAAGTTTGCAGAAGTGTCTGGTGTGGGCAGAAGGCTCCAGAAGGTCCTCGCTGCGGCTTTCTCAGGCTGGCCCAAGGCCACGTATGAAGCATCTCCATCTCCACATCCACATTTATAGAGCAGCAGAAAAACACGCACGTCTCTTGAGCTTCTCAGGAAATCTCAAGAAGAAGGCAGTGTCGGCCCATTTTGCAGATGGGGAGACAGCTGACAAGGTCGTTTGCCTGAACTGGAATTCCGATGCACACTTGCAACTCCTCAATCTGTGCTCTCCGCCAGAGCTATCCTGCCTCTGGGTGCTAAGTGGCCCTAATTATTCTTTGGTTCTTTCCTTCTTTGGGAACGACACAGCAGCCCTCGCGCTGGATCTGAAAGCCCTTCTGTGTTCTGCGTTCTGTCTCAGGTCACTGGAGCATTCAGGGCCCTTGTCTGAAACACGCAGCAGTGAGGGCTGGGGTCGGGGCAGGCGGGGGTCACAGACGCGCAGGGCCGAGACCGGGACCGTGCTCCTGAGGTCTGCGTCCCCGGCTCACGGCCGCAGCCGTGGGAAACACTCGGACGTGGGCTCGGAGAACAAAAAGTCGGTATCCTGGGTACCGCCGCTCGGAGCACGGCTGGCTAAATTTATCTTGGGAAGGAATGTGAAGGGAACAGAGAGAAGAACCAAAGCGGACTTGGTTTCCCTCCAGCACCTGCCTTCCAAGAGGCAGTGAGCACGCTCAGATCATTATCTCGCCGCCCACATGCCCTCAGAGGAGGCTTGGCAGGGATGGTTCTCCTCCCGGGAGGGCGGGAGGAGGAATGGCTTTCGTCCGGGGGGTGAGGGGGAGGCCCCGGCGTCCTGACTTCTGCACTTGGTGTGGCCGGGTGGCGGGGAATCACAGCATCTGGCCCCACCCTGCGGCAGAGACAGGCTCCGTGCCCACCAGGGTCAGGGTTATCTTCCACCCAGCTGGACCGGGTTTCCCAGCCGCCTCGCCTTTATCTGGGCCCCCGGGACCAGTTCTTGTCAACAAACTGTGAAGAGAGATGAGGTCTCTTACCGCTGGGCTGGGGTGTGTGAGGGCTGTGTGCCACCCTCGCGGCCGGGTGCTCAGGAGCCAGGGGAGAACTCAGACCCCAGAGGAGGCTGACCCCAGGGTGGCAGGACCCCCAGAGGACTGCACACAGCTCTCCTCCCATCCTGATCCACAGGGCAAGGCGTAAGCCTCTGCTGAGCCACTGAGCTGCAGGGGCTATTTGTTACAGCAGCTAGCAGTACTTACCCTGACTACTACAAACTCCTCCCTCACAGCTCGGTCACTGGGACTGACTCTGCCTGCACTGCAGGAGACCCGGGTTCGATTCCTGGATTGGGAAGATCCCCTGGAGAAGGGAGCGGCAACCCTCTCCAGTACTCTTGCCTGGAGAATCCCATGGACAGAGGAGCCTGGTGGGCTACAGTCCATGGGGTTGCAAGTTGGTCACGACTTAGCAACTAAACCACCATCATCATGTCACAGCTCAGAAGACTGAGGCTCAGAGGGAAGAAGTGTTTATGGAAGAATAAAGAATGATCTAAAACTGGGGAGT